AGCAATATGCTCGGCAAGACTAAGAATCTTGAGATGCTTCTTCTTCCTCAGCTCATGGGGAACCGGGCCAAAAACTCGAGTCCCTATTGGCTCACCTTGTTTATTGATGAGCACGACTGCATTATCGTCAAACTTGACTTCACTCCCATCACACCTTCCTCTTTGCATTGCGGCACGAACAACTACCGCATAATGAACATCTCCCTTTTTCACTTTCCCACCCATATGAGCTTCCTTAACCGAGGCCACTATCATGTCCCCAAGTCGAGCCCCTTTCCTTCCTTTCAACGCTTGTATGCACATTACCCTTTTGGCTCCCGAGTTGTCAACCACTTTAAGGTTTGTCCTCATCTGTATGAAAGTTCTCGTTTGCTGGACAAAAGCACAAACAAACGAAAAATTCAGATGTTTCGACAAATCAATGTAGATAAATGCATTTTTATCTTGATATTCTACTTTTATTATATCTCAATAGCATTGATAGGAGAAAACAACACTAACCTGTGATAAGAAATCCGAATGTGTCGACTGGGGAGATGAACGGATTGAACCGGAAGCACCATTGGTGATGCCGCCAAGAATCGAACGACCAACTGATGTTTTGTTCAATTACCAAATAATAGTATTAGTTACCATTATTAGTTGTCCAATTACACAATTACTGCTGAAAAACTCGGCACCCGAAAAAATGTATTGCTCCCAAAACAATCAGCCATTAGTACATTACAAGAAAATTGCAGAAAACAAAAAAAAAAAAAAAAAGGGAATTCTTTTGTTTCCTCAAGAAGATAGGTATCTATACACATTATCTAATTCTAATTCCATAAAAGGATGGATTACGGATCTTCACAGAAGAAATAAACATCCCAGCGGCCAATAAACTTGTAATGCTTGAAAGTTATCATGATGAAAAACAACCTCCAGCAAATAAAAATAAAAATCTGTTCTTTATCTTCAAAACACCCAGAAGAAATAAACATCCCAGCAAAAAAATCTTCAACCTCCAGCAAAAGGATGGATTACGGATCTTCACAGAAGAAATAAACATCCCAGCGGCCAATAAACTTGTAATGCTTGAAAGTTATCATGATGAAAAACAACCTCCAGCAAATAAAAATAAAAATCTGTTCTTTATCTTCAAAACACCAATACCAAATAAAATGTTCGTCACTCACCTAAAAAAACGATAAACCCATCTGAATTTTTACTTGGCTGAAGAGTATGGTTTTGATACTTTTCACCATTTACCATTTATTAAGTTACATATTCAATACCAGGGACACGAATATATAAAAAAAAACCGAGAAATGGAAAAATCGTCAGTATAAGCATACTTGCCCATCAACTCATGAACACGAATGGGATGAAAAATAAATCAAGTGGGGTGAAAAGATGCATACCACGGAACAGTTTAGAAGAATTAGAAGCAGCCATTATCTCAGACAGCCGACGAGAATTCGAAAAGCAAAAGTGGAGCTCTGTAACAATCTATTAATCTGCCTGCTAAATTCAACAAATTGCAGAAAAACTCAGTCACTCAGTACAATCGATCGAGATCGAAAAAAATTTGAGACCCAAATGATGACACTTACAGTGTGGGGCGACGAGATTGAGTTTCGGCGTCGGCGGAGATTGGTAGTGGCGCGGCCTGGGTTGTGGTCTCTGGGTAAGAAGTGGGGATTGGAAAACCTGCGAAGCTAATTACTGGGCCAAAATGATATGGGCTGGATTTTACAAGTATCTGGGCTTAAAAATTTGTCAGACCAAACAGTTGACTTAGGCAGTAAGCCCAGTTGTATCTGGGTTTCACTAAGTAACGATTGGATTTTTTTTTTTAGTTTTTATTTTATCTGATATTTTTTTACGGAATTATGATTGAAAATAAATTTAAATAAAAATACAATATTTTTTTATTAAATATTATCAATATAATTATATAATAAAAACAATCATTTCAATATACTTGTTTTTATAAAATTTGCGGTCCTCTTCAATCAAATATTTTAATAAAAATAATTTATATTCATTGTCGAATTTAATCATTCATTTTATTTCATATTCACACAATTTAAAAATTATTTTATTCTTTCATTAAAATAATTATTTTTCAATCTCCAACTCACTTTTTTCAAATTTATAAATAATTCTTTTTACTCTCCAACTCACTTTTTTCAATTTTATAAATAATTCCTTTTACTCTCTAACTCACTTTTTTCAATTTTATTAATGAAACTAATTTTTGTTTTCTAAAATAATCAATATCCAGTCACATTACATTGCTTGTTTGCTCTCATCTTAACCCACTATTCTTTGGACTAGTTATTACTCAAATTAATTTAATTTTCTTGTGACAACTCACTTAAGCATGTTTTTTCCAAGATTTCAATGGTGATTTATCCTTAATTACATGTCTTTTTTTGTAGATCATTTTTCATAGATTCTCTTGTGAGCTAGTCTAATTGTGCAGGTCGAATCTATCATGTTTTTTGAAAAAAGAAAAAAAAAAACAATATATGTTTATACTGTGCAATGTCATACTTTTATTTATATCAGTTTGTAAGCAAAAATGTTGTTGTTAGTTAGTTATTGTTGTTTTAATAAACTTTATAAACAAATGTTGACCCCAAAAACTATATCACACAACATGAAAGATCTCAAATTGTTTGAATTAATATTGTCTATTGAAAAAGGGGAAAGAAGATAGAGAAGGGACCAGGGCAAATTTGATTGAAGCAAACTTACAATCTTTCCAAAGTATATATTCGGAGCTTCTTGAATTAGATATTTATCATTCACAGTTGGCCCATATAAAGATTGGCTTGACAGCCAGCATATTAATTGAGATTTGAGATCCCAGCTAATACATATGACAAAAGCAAAGGCATGTGCAAAAAACTTTATGTTACACCATTTTATTAACCATCTCAAAATTATGTTTATTTGATTAGTTGGGGTTATTAATATATCGAATTCGAGTGTATAATCATGCCTATTCAGATAGACATATATTGTTGTGAGGTAGCCCAACAGTTAGATAACTAAATCGACATAATTCCTAAACAAAAATATGTATTTATATTGTGAATAGTCATACTTTTTGGTAAGATTACATTTTTAAAGTATGACATTTTAACATGAAAATATTTGAATTCTTCAAAAGGTTATTATTATAAGACTTGTCTAACAGAAGTCTTACAATAAATACAATATTGTCTATGAGTTCAAGGCAAAAAA